TGATGTAAACAGGAAAACAAGCTTAAGAAACTTGCTACAGCCCCTTATTTATGAACTTAATTACTGGGCAATGGTTCACTTATGGTTTAGACTAAGCTGTGATGTGTGCAGCTTGCAATAATGCTAATACTGACTTGTGCTTGACCTGGGACAAAATGCTGAGGTTCTTGCCAGGTATGTTGTCTCAGGCAGACCTAGATTTGGGCTTGGCCACATTCTGCAAGCCAGACTGTTATTTCTTCTGCTGTGTGGTTCAGTACCCTCACTATAGCATTCTGAGATACGCTTGATTCCTTAAGTACCAAGGAAACAGTTGAATTGAATGGCTGCGGTCTAAAGCACACTGTCCTCTTCATCACATGCTTTTGGCCCCTGTAGTATAAGCAGCAGTCCCTCTTCCCAAATAAGTTTTTGGGGTGGGAATGGTGGTAGAAGTAGGGAGTTTCTGCGTAGCACTTATAGTCCTGGAACTCTATGTGCAGATCTGGCTGGCCTCAAACTCAAAGATCCTCTGCCTCTGCCTCCCAGTGCTAGCATTAAAGGTATGCTCCACTGTGCCCAGCCCAAATCTCACCCTAAATGGAGCATACTTTCCAGTAGTCGAGAAGCTGAACAGTTTGAGATCAGCCAAATTCTACAACCCAGAAGCTAGGAAATGAAATTTAGTGTGCCAGTGATTCTCTTGCACTTATTCTGTGTGCTCGCATGAACATCAAGGCACACACCTGAGGATCAATGACTTGCAGGAGGAGTTATGGGGATCAAATTTTAAGATGATCAATAACGGTGACAAATAACATTTTTAAATTACAGAAAACCCACCATGTGTGGTGAATGCATCAGTAATCCCAGCACTTGGGAAGCAGAGGCGGGATACAATCTTTTTTTTTTTTTGATTTTCGAGACAGGGTTTCTCCGTAGCTTTTGGTTCCTGTCCTGGAACTAGCTCTTGTAGACCAGGCTGGCCTCGAACTCAGAGATCCACCTGCCTCTGCCTCCCGAGTGCTGGGATTAAAGGCGTGCGCCACCACCGCCCGGATGGATGCAATCTTCTGCTATACAGTGAGCCCCAGGCAAGCCTGGGCTACCAGACCACTTCTTTAAACTCAACTACCAAAACCTGTAAATTTTAGTCTTTTAAGTCTAATTGTGCTGCACCCATCTCAAGCTTGAAAG